AAAGGAGACATATTACCTTACTTTCTGTCATATATATTGTTAGAATGTGGGATGTTGAAGTTAAGTTAAGCATGCCCACTAAGTACAGAGACCCACTCACTCCTATGCTCAAGAGTTGGTCCGTTTTAGAAAATGTATTTGAGCATTGAAGAATTAAAAGAACATGTACATGGACTCTCTTTGTTCTGAAAACCACAGTGAGCAAGTTGCTGCAGCCAACGTCCCAAAAAGAAGTGCCTAACTAAAGAAGATGTAGGGGCATGTGGCAAAGGTTACCTTAAATAGTAAGAATTCATGTTTTCTTTAGAAATAGAATTAAGAGAGAGAAAAACCAAATTATGAGACAAAATAACATCAAATTCAAAAGAGTAACCCATCGCCGAAATAGAACCAAAATAACCACGATGAAACAAACATTACATACAATCACTGTGTGTGTAGTTCAGAGTAAGGTGAGGGACCAGGGGTGTGGCCACTGCGTGGACCCCCCAGAGGGGACCTGCAGGGATGTGGTAATATATCTATTGTGGAAAATGAAAGCCCTAATGAAATCCACCTGCTCCTTCCTGCTGAGAAGTAAGGTTTCACATAATATTGAATTTCACATCATGACTCTCTGTGTTAAGTAGCAAGAGCTGGAAGTCCAGAGACGAGGTTAGTCCTAGCTTAAGATAAGGACCTGGAAGCAGAGCAGAAACAGCTAGCTGGCTCTTTTTTAAAGTTCTAAAAATCATACCATTATACAATCACCCCCAACGCCACTAAAGTACTCTTTACCACGTGCACCTCTACAAGGTTGGACTTGCTGTCATTTAAATCCATAAAAGCGTAGCAGCATAAAGTTAAATAAGAAGACTTTAAATGTTTATCGTTAAGGCTCACAATAATCATCTATCGTGTTTTAATTATCTCTTTCATGAGACATTTTTGTTGATAAAAGCAATTTAAGTTGTGTAGGAGATTCTTCTCAAGAGGTATCCAGCTATAAACAATTTTCATTCTTCCATTTGCAGATGCGACTTGTAGCAAACATTAAATACTTGACCAACAGTCTCTCCCTGAATTCTTTTTGTTTATCTATGTCAACCCTGGACAAATAAATGCAAATCCATCCAACCCTTTATATAGCAGCATGTCAGTATAATAAATGAAATGAGAGCCAACTTAACGTCCTGTCATTCACAAGGCTGATTATATCAGAAACAATGACGATTGTTTTTATACTAATTAACATAAGTGTTTTATGATCCTCACTCAACGAATAATTGTTTGCACATTAAGGCGGTCTTGTTACACATAGGTTGTTTTTGTTAAAGATTTGCACAACCAGGGTTGAAATATAACGACAGCATGCTCTTATTGTGAAGGGAGTTAAGCAGTGGAGAGGCGCGCAGGGTTCTTCCTCCCCAGGATTTGACTGACCCCTTCGCGATTGGAGACCGGAGCAGAGAGCGACATCGAGATGAGGCCAATCAGGGGGGAGCTAAGCTAAACCCATGGCTCGTCCTCATCGAGCATTTTAGACCATAAGATAAGCAGCACATTCTCAATACAAACTCTGTATACCTGTAAGTTAGGGCAGTTTGGGACGTTGGCCTGGCAGCAACCTGCTCACGGTCTTAGAGTGAGTGAACTGTGGTTTTCAGAAAAAGAGAGTCCATGTACATGTTTCTTATTAATTCTTTCAATGCCTCAATACATTTTCTAAAAACGACCAAGCTTCTTGAGCATAGGAGTGAGTGGGTCTCTGTACTTAGTGGGCATGCTTAACTTAACTTCAACATCCAGCATTTCTAACAATCATATAGTGACAGAAAGTAAGGTAATATGTCGTTCCTTTAACTTAAAACATTATTATATTCAATATGTCAATAATCATTGCTAGATGGTTATTATTGTATGGCACAATAATAGGTGGTGTTGTATCATGGCACTAAAAAGTTTGTCGCTACACTTTACTATTGCCAGTTTAATATGCACACAGTTTTATACAATATATGTAGTAGGGTCCTGCTCTATCTCTTTAACTCTCTAAAGCGCTGAAGGGGTACTTGGCCTGAAAGAAGTGCAGACCCCTGACTTAATGATTAAATTGATGCAAATGGCTTTGGATTGCAGCAGTAAGAAGGCAGAGGCAAGTGTACTATATGCGTGCTCCCAATGGTACTTTATTAAAGCTTCAAAAGCCAAAAAAAAAAAAACCTTTGTCGCTATGTAGCCCTGTGAGAGTACAAAAAAACAGCAACCCTACTAACCGTGCTCTCTCCCTCTCATCGCACCAAGGTGGCCAATAATCATGGGGGGGTTTTTTCCCCTTGGTTCCAGTCTTTATGCTAAGCTAAGGCTAACAGCTCTGGTACTTAACACCGTGAAATGAGATTGATATCCATCCTTCTCATACTCAGACAGAAAGAGCAAAAATGTGCCAAAACTATTCTCTGACTTCTCTCAGTCTGGTCTCTTGGCAGTTACTGTCTGTGAATAGATTCCGTCGAAACAAAGGGGCAAGATCCAGCTACCTCCCACTTCAACCCTTTATTTTCCAAAAATACTCTTGGCAGTTGCAGGGCGGCTCAGGGCTCAGAAAACACCGCTTCCTGCTTTCTTTGGCTGTGTTAATAGGAAAACGATATGAAAGCTGGGCTCGCACAGAAAGCACCTGTGTGATGGGTAAATCAGAGGCGCCGGGGAGAGCAGGTGCTTTCCCCCAAAACCCTTGGGAGACACATTTCCGCTCATGTGTGCTGGTCCAGGATCCAGTTTTCTC